TCTGTACTTATATCAATGTCATAGAAGTACTACAAGAATTATGATGCATTATGAATGTATGTATGTATGTATGTATGTATTTTTGAGACCAAGTCTCACACTGTAGGCCAAACCAACCCAAAACCTGCTATGTAGTTCCAGTTGTCATCCAACCTACAACCTTCTTGCTTTAGCATCTACTTCACCAGTACTGGTATTTCACACATGTGCTAAGCCTTTATGGGTTTAATCAGAATATATAAACTCATATGTAAAATATATTATAAAATATTTAGCCCAGTACTTAGTATATAATAAATATAAATGCATTAGAAAGTAAGAAAGTCCGGGTGGCACTTGCCTTTAATCCTAGCACTCAGGAGGCAGAGGCAGGCAGATCTCTGTGAGTTCAAGGCCAGCCTGGTCTACAACGCTAGTTCCAGGACAGCTAGGGTTGTTACACAGAGAAACCCTGTCTTGAACAACCCCCCTCCCCCCAAAAAAAGAAGGGAAAGAAAAAGAAGGTAAGAAAGAGCTGGGTCTGGTGGTACAAGCCTGTAATCACAGCTCCTTCAGAGGCAGTGTCAAGAGAATTACAAATTCAGGGACTACTTGAGCTATTAAGAGTTCAAGGTGAACCAAGGTAACCTGCTAAGACCCTGTGTCAAAATGAAAACTAAGGCTGAAAACTCAGGTGTGGCAGGGCATACCTGCAATCCCAGCACCTGGGAGGCTCAAGTGGGAGGATTTCAGTGAATCTGAGGCTAGTCTAGGCAGTAAGGCGAGTTTGGGCCAGCATGGCAAATAGATTAAGACCCTTTAAAGGGTGTGTGTGTAAGTTGCAGGTGCAACACACACACACGATTGTGTCTATAACTCAGTGGTAGAGCACTTATTCTATGTGTGGGGCCTTTAGTTTAAAAAAAAGAACAAATGAACTAGAAAAATATGAACATGTGATCATCATATAGGCATTTGTGTATGTACATATGCCTGCACAGACATATGCATGCCCTTAAATATGAATGCCTGCTAATTACTCATCTGACAAGTCCTGCTTTGATAAGAGCATTTGTTTACCATTCATGGACAAAGTTAAATATTTCCTGAGAAAGCCTTGATGCTCACACTGACAGTAGGGAACCACTTCTATCCAGAAACCTGTGGTCAAAACCTAAGGGCTGCCTTGCTTTAATGTTTAATCTCTGAAATTAATTACTAGCTAGACAATTCAAAGGGTCTCTGAGGACACTAACGATGATGATGGTGTTTTCTTAATTTCGAGTTAGTGATCTGCTTAGCAGGGAAGTCTGCTGGGAAATGAGTTTCATTCCCAGATTCTACCTGCAGGATCCTTAGTCCTCCTACAACCGGGGATCTGCTCCCACACTCAGATTCTCTACAGTGCCTTGATTTTATCTGCAATGGCTCACCTTTATGGGATGGAGGTTACAGCATTATAAAACCACACTGTAATTGAGATATAATTATGCATTCCTTGGAAATCATTTGGAAAAAAAAACTCATGACATCTGGTATCCTCTCATGCACAGAATGAGTCAGTAGACTGTAGTGTGAGGAACTGGTTTTCTCATAGAACTTGGTATCATCTGGCATTTCCTTTTTGGAGCAAAATAAAGGTAGATTCAAACCAAAAGGTGTCTTTGCATACTAGGGAAAATGGCAGCCACTCTAACCAGTTCCAAGTTCACACTTACTAGCAGTAATACCCATTGGACTACGTCTACTTGAGAAGCTTCCAATAACTGTTTAACTTATTGGTATCTTTGTTTCTTGAACCACAAAATGGAGAGAGTAAGAATACCTGCCTTTTGGTCACCGGTACTGTGTTGTTGAGGTGGCAGGAAGCATATCAAATGCAATAAAAATTTAAAGAGTGGCTACTTTATTAGATTTAAGAGGCTCATAATTAGTGATCCTAGAGAAGCTAAATAAGGAGAACCCAAAGAAAAACATATAGGCATCCTCCTAAATATTAACCTTCAGCAAGCGATGAAAGGAGACAGAGACCCACATTGGAGTACAGGACTGAAATCTCAAGGTCCAAATCAGGAGCAGAAGGAGAGAGAGAACGAGCAAGGAACTCAGGACCGCGAGGGGTGCACCCACACACTGAGACAATGGGGATGTTCTACTGGGAACTCACCAAGACCAGCTGGCCTGGGTCTGGAAAAGCCTGGGATAAAACCGGACTCTCTGAACATAGCGGACAATGAGGACTACTGAGAACTCAAGAACAATGGCAATGGGTTTCTGATCCTACTGCACGCACTGGCTTTGTGGGAGCCTAGGCAGTTTGGTTGCTCAACTTACTAGACCTGGATGGAGGTGGGGGTTCCTTGGACTTCCCACAGGACAGGGAACCCTGATTGCTTTTCGGGCTGAGGGAGGGGGGGACTTAATTGGGGGAGGGGGAGGGAAATGGGAGGCGGTGGCGGGGAAGAGACAGAAATCTTTAATAAATAAATAAAAAAAAAGAGGCTCAACTAAATCACTAAGAATACAATGATCAAGGACTGGCGAGATGGCTCAGGTTCAACTCATAGCACCTATACAAAGGCTCAAAACCATGCAGGTCCAGAGGATGCATTGTCCTCTTCTGTCCTCTGTGGGTACCAGGCATGCATGAGGTGTATGTACACATGTGCAGGCAAAGAACTCACGCGCCTAAAATATCCTCTACTGTTTATGGATGGCTTCTATAACCACCGTAGAGTCTACAGTCACTGGACTACAAGCTGCCTAAGGAGAGGGAACAGTCCGACACCATGCAACTCCCATCTTCACTGAACTTAGTTCAGCCATGGACATAGAAGGTTATCGACAGTCACGATGAGTTCAACATGGTAGTAGTGCACAGGAGGGAATGCCCTGGAATATACTGGAAGCCAAAGAAGCCAATGCAAACACATTGGTGGCTTTCTAAATACTGGACCCCAGCACGCAGGAACAAGTAATTTTTAGGTTGCAACAGACGACCCTATCTCAGTCTGTATGCCTCTCTGGACGTACTATATGATCATCAGTATTTGCAATATTTATATTATAAATAAGAGTTTTGCAAAATAACACTTGTCTTACTATGTAATTATGCCCTGTTCTTTTCTATGGCAGTTGGGTTTAGTGTCTCTTATGTTTTAATGTTGAACTTTATGTGTAGCCAAGCATGACCTTGAACTCCTGATCTTCCCACCTCTGCCTCCCAGTGTTGAGACTTTGTCGGCAGAGGCCAGCATGCTCACCACCTTATGCACAGTCTGATTTCATAGGGATCTTGGTCAAACACAGATGAGGTTCAGCAGAAGGCAGATAGGGCAGGAGTTTCTGTATTACCATTGTGTTCCCGGGTAATCCTGAAGGTCCACAGGGGACACGATAGGGGTAAAAATGTGCATTTGTAGTAATCATTTCTAAGGCTGGGAACAGCTTGTTAAAGTTATATTCCAGGGCCAGTGAGATGGTTCAGGGGATAAAGGAGCTTGTTGCCCATCCCGACAACCTGAGTTCCATCCTGGGAACCACATGATGGTTCTGGCAAGCTGTCCTCTGAGAGCCGCCCTTGTATCATGGTGGGTGCACATTTCATGACCCACTAGAGGGTTGTATTCTAGACTGAGGAAAACATCCCTCATTATTTCTAACATTTCTTTCATCTCTCTAATTCCACTGTCATATTCTTGGAACAGAAATTCTTGGCTTGGAAGGTAGGAGGATGAGGGGAAGGAGCTCACAGCCCAATATCCCCATTTCTATGGATTTGGGCAGAAACAAGCACAGGCTTCCTTGTCCCGAGGGGGAAAGTTCATTTCACCTCGCAGGGAAATGAACTGAGTGGGTGACCAAGAGCAGGACCATTAAATGAGAGCACTATGTCTACCTGTGTTTATTTCGACTTTCCCCCGGCGAGGTGGTCATCCTCACTTCCCAGATAAGAGAAAGCAATTGACTGAACTTGGCAGCATTCAGCAACAAGTGAGCCACTGTGGGAGCGAATCTTCCAGGCCTGTATCCCTGGCTAAAGGTGTAGCCACCGTTTCAGGGGAGACCCCAGTGGGAACCACCCAGCTAAGTTTCACCCTATTTCCTGATCCACAGAAACCATGAGACACCATTTCACATTCATAACATTTACAGTTGCAGGTCTAGATCATTACGTTTTGGTATGCTGTTTGTTAAACTTTAAAGTTATTTGTTATGCAGCAGGGGCAATAAAATTCTTAACCAGAGGTTATATTGATTGCATCAATACAATTTATCCCAATAGGAAGAGAATGTTTACAAAGCCCTTTGGATCACCTCTTCACCGGTGGTGCAGCTTGTACCAGTCCATTCTCCTGGCCCAAGCTCTACTTCTCTAGGGTCATGGGCAGTTTATCTGACAAACAAAATTGTTTATTCTTTTTGTGAATTATTTTAATACTTGTTTTTGAGAGAGGGCTGTATACAGCTTGCTTTGCTATGTAGTCAAGAATGACCCTGAACTTCCTATGTTCCTGCATTCACAATCAAAGTGACTGTATGCCTGTGAGGACCAGTTGTATATAGAATTGTGAGGTGATACCATACCTAAGCAGAGATTTTGGAGCTCTATAAGCATCTGCCTTCCTGGGCTGGAGAGATGGATGGCTCAGGCATACAATTCACAACTCCATCTGCACCCCCTCTTCTGGCCTATCTGGGCACCAGGCACCGATGTCATGCAGACATATATGTAGGCAAAACATGCACAAACATATAATTAAAAATAAAGACTTTGCCTTTCCTCGTTAGTGTCTGTGGAGACACCTGCGAAACAACACGTCCCTTTTACACTGATCTCACAGTGAACGGTAAGGCAAGAAACAGACTTGAACTTGACTCTCAACATAGAAGCAAGTCACACTGTCCAGAGGCACAGCTGACTTATGGACCCAGGGATGAGGAATGTGTGTGCCGTTACAAACCACAGGTTAGGAGACTGTTTCTCGCTGGGAACAGTGAGCACCGACTGAAACACTCACCATGTTGTATGATGCCGTGCTCCATGAGCCGGTGGCAAAGCTGCTCCCCCTCTTTCCTTGTCGTGGCCTCACCTTCCTGAACCAACCAGTCCAGGAATTCAGAGGCCATGAAGGTTCGTTCATACTTCACTCCTTCCTCTTCCCGCGGCTGTAGGAGGGTAGTTTCCGGGCTCATCAGTCTGGGAGGAAACACGAGGAGGAGAAAAGTAAAGCAAACATACACAGAAGGAGAATAGCTCCTCTGCAAGGTGACATCCTTACTTCCAGGAAGTAAGTGCCACAGAAGAGCTGTCAGACAGACAGATGTAGCTGTCATATGCTGCTACGTGTAGATGTCAACTCCAAGAGAGGATCTGTGTCAGAAATGAACAAGATGCCTTTTCTCCTGGTAGTTAAACAGAAGCTGGAAAGACAAACTACAAGTCTACCTCTTGCAGGCTGCATTCCTGTTAGCCACGTTGAAAAGTGGTGGCAGCACTGGGGGTCTGGCCCAGCAGCGTGGTGTTTACTTAGCCCCGGGCTTGGTTCCTGGCACCCAACCACACCCACACCCACACCCTCGAGGGAATAAAGAAACAATGAAGAGAAGTGTAGCATATTTTTTCTTTTGGGCCACCAACCAGCACCAAAATCATGACATAGAGACTCTCTCTTCCTTCTTTCCTTCCTTCTTTCCTTCCTTCTTTCCTTCCTTCCTTCCTTCCTTCCTTCCTTCCTTCTTTTTTTGAGACAGAGTCTTACTATGCAGTTCTGTCCTTGGATTTGGTATGACCAGGGCAGGGTCGAACTTGCAGATGGATTCTGGGATTACAGCTATGTGTCAATGTGCCTCCCCCAAATTTCCTGATTCTTTCACATTCTACCATCACATCCTTTATTTTATCAAGTTGATTTCAAAACAGATATGGCTGGAGCCAGAAAGCACCTTTTTATGCATCTATACAACACCAGTGAACATTAGAGGCTACTGACCAGTGCCTTCGCCTAGAGCGATATTACATGCTACCATTGCCTCTTGTTCCTCTATGAACATATCTTTCTCTATGTTGCAGAACTCTTTTTAGGAAAATAAGAATGCAACAATAATAACCAAAGACACCATTCACCCAAGTTTGACTTGGTGAACATTGCATTAACTGAGATTACTTATAGGGACAATATCTAATTCAAGTTATAAATGACGGAGGAGTCTAGGGGTAGATAATTATCCCCTGAGCATACGCAGTGCACATTGCTCTACTGCAAGAAAACATGCTAAGGGTGGAGATTGTTTACCTAGGTTGGAGCCCGTTTATGCAGCCTGGTTTGGCTATGGAGCCTCCACTGACACAGCAGGCAAGAGGCAGACCCTACTCCTGACTGGCTCTCTGCTAGGCAATACTGTTGGGATAATCTTTTTGCACACTGTGTAAAGAGTTATCTGTCCTTCCTCACCTGCCTAAGACACCTTCTGATTGGTTTAATAAAGAGCTGAATGGCCAATAGCTACGGAGGAGAGAATAGGCAGGACTTCTGGGGAGAGATAGGAACGCTGGGAAAGAATCTGAGGCTTGCAAGATTTATCAGCCAGATGTGGAGAAAGTTTGATGCATGGTACTAAGGAGAGTTTACAAGCCATGTGGCAGAATATAGATTAACTTGCTAAAAGATCCTGGTTGAGATGTGTCTGTCTTGTCTAGCCAATGTATGGTAGGACGACCTATACATTTTATTTCCTAAAGCAATCTCATTTATGCCTAGGCCCTCCCGTCTCAGCAATGCCACCACTTTAGTCTGAAATGTCTACATTTTAAACCTTGTTAACGACAGCATGTTCTTAGATGAGTTATGACATGCATCCACTCCTATTAGGAAGGTAGTACCTGCTCCACTTCCTTCCTGATTCATGGATTACCAATCTTTGGTAGGAAAAAAAAAAAGCACAAGAGCTCAGCATAGTGGTCTATGCCAGTGATTTTTTTACTGAGATTTTTAAAATTTTTTTATTTAAAAGATTTTTCTTTTCATTTTACATACCAACCACTGTTGAGACCATTTGGAGTCCTGGCCTCCAACTGCTCTTCTCTGCTAGAGATCTTTAGTTTCCTTCTGATTTGAGTTACTAAAGGCTGTGTCAAAGTTGTTTACTAGCTCTGCTTCACGAGCACGTGTTGCCTTGGCCTTGAGGATCAGAGGACGAGGTTTTCACCTGTTTTCCCACCTGACTATGTTGGGTATATAAGCCTCCGTGGTGCTATTGAATAAAGGGCTTCTCACCAGTGACTAGAGGTCCATGTGTCTCTCTGTGTGTCTTTGTGTGTTTCAACCTCCAGCCCCTTGCCCGAAGCTCGCAAACTGTATGGTAGCTCATAGAGAGCAGATAGGTGTTGTGTGCTGCAAACCACAGTTCTCCCTCCCTCCCTTCTTCCTAAAACTTCCCTCATCACCTCCCTCCCCAACTCCATCCTCATCCACTCCTCAGAAAAGGTAAGCCCTGCTATGGGGAGTCAACAAAGCCTGGCAAATCAAGTTGAGGAAGGACCAAGCCCCAACCCCCTGTATTGAGGCTGAGCAAGGTATCCCTCCATAGGAAATAGGCTCCCAAAAGCCAGTTGATTTACTGGGGATAAGTCCTGGTCCCACTGTCCATGTTCCTACAGACAGTCCGAGCAACACAATTGTCACCCACATTCAGAGGGCCTAATTTGGTCCTATGCATGCTCCCCAGCTGTCAGTCCAGAGTCAGTGAGCTCCCACTAGCTTGTGTCAGCTGTCTCTGGGTTTCCCCATCATTATCTTGACTCCTTTGCTCATAGAATCCCTCCTCCCTGTCTTTGATTGGACTTTGGGAGCTTAGCTATGGATCTCTGCATATGCTTCCATCGTTGTTATGTCAGCGATTCTAACACTTGGGAGACAAGGCAAAGGATCACGAATTTGAGGCTAGCCTGGGTTACATAGTGAGATCCAGTCTCAGACAAAAATCAAATCAAAACAATAATAAAAGCCCAAACAAGGACAAGAGAGAGAGAGAGAGAGATTGCAAGAGTTATTTATAAAAGTGATTAGCATATTATCAGACCTCATTCTAAACCTTATTCAGCATATCACAGAATTCATGCAAAATCTGCTTGGCTACATCTTTCCCCCAAGTTGATCCTCTTTGCACTTTACTCTACCTTAGAAAGTACTATTCGAATGTTTTCCTGAGGTTAGCAGCAGCTGGGTTGATATGAGCACTAAAGATTCCATTCAGTGAACACTGGCACATGTACTCCAACACAGACGCAGGATGATAGCAACATTCTGTAAGAGATGATGCATCATGAACAAATGACCGCGGTTCCCTGCATCTTCATGGAGAAGCTGAGTCTGTTCTAACATCTCCTGAGCCTGTGGCTGGCCTCGTGACAACAGGGTGAAGCAAAGTGACCAGGAGGCCATTTTGGATGTGCTAGTACAACAGAAACCCTGTCTGTCTGACCAACCAGCAATCCCATGAAGGAGCCCAAGAGAAACCAGCAGTGGGGCCCTCATGTGACCCATAGATCTAGGAGAAACAGTACATCACAGCTGTTTGAACTATTACATTTTAGTATTTTTCCAATGACCTACCAATGACACATACTGATATTAATGGAGAATGAAAAAAATGCATGAAAAAATGCATGACACTGAACACTCAGAAAAAGAGGAAGTAGCACTGCCAAGACGTAGAAACAAAATTACATAGAAGAAAGCGCTGCAATGCCAGTGCTGAGAGCCTGCGCTGGTGACAAGACTCCAGCGGGGAGAGCAGAAGGACGCACGAACAGGACAAATGGGCACCGCCACTTCTGTTGATGCTCGCAGTATTTTGAATGAAAATAGAAGAAACACTAGTCTCCCACATTTTCCCATTTTAGATATCATTTCCTGTGAGAACTCTCGCGGCCCTATAAATCTGGACACTGTGCCTCTTCTAGAACCACCCAGGAACCATCTGCTGAGTCGACGTTAAACATATGGAGGTCACGGACCCTACTTGAGATGTTTACAGGTGTTTCCTTAGGTTAAAATGTTTACAAAAAAATAAATCGCTGAATGGATAAATTAAGCTCATTTGCATGTGTTTCTTGCTACATAGCAGCCAAGTACATCCTAAAAAGGCCATCCTCACAAAGCCAGGTGTGGTGGCACATGCCTTTATTCATGACCAGCCTGGGTTTGATTCCACCTTAAAATTTTGTCTTTAGATATGTAAGTAAAACCCTCTCCACAGGTTGATGAAATGACTGACTTGGTAAAGGCACTTCCCCTCCTGGCATGATGCCCTGAGTTCTGTCCCTAGGACTCACACGGTGGAAGGACTGAACCTACCTGCTGACACTGGTCCTCTGAACATCATGTGTGCCACGGCACGCCCATTCCCACACACATACACATGCACATGCAAACTAGATGAACAAATACATAATGTAATTAAACTGATTTTTAAAAATTCTCTGTATTTCTGGCACAGGCTCTTAACCTTTATCACCACTTCAGCTTCTTCCTGCACTGCTGCTTTCCTTTGAGGGCGCCACAAGGACAAGTGCACAGGGTTATTACTTCACGCTGCTTCTTGTAACCAGAAACATGACCTGCTCCGTCCTTTAGAACTCCTGCTAAGTAGCTGGCGGCCTCTGGACAAGTGGCTGGCTAGCTGCTCCTGCCAAGGATCAGGAAAGGAGCCAGCTGGCAGGCTCATCTCCTGCCATTTAAAACTCCAGTGTCCTCAGCTCCTCTCTACTCATTTCCCCTAACAATCCAGGAGCATTCCCATCCTGCTTCCTCCTTTTAAGCCTAAGTCTTTCTTGGGACTGGAGTTTAGTATTTATATGCAGTTTTCATGCTAAAGCATGAATCTGACTATTTGATCTGATTTGTAGTGATATATTTCATTTGTATTTTAATAAATAAAGCTTGCCTGAAGATCAGAGAGTGAAATGGCCACACCGATCAGCCACACAGACCAGTGGTGGCACACACCTTTAATCCCAGTAGCCATACTAGTTCGCCACAGAAGCAGGGTAGTAGTGGTGCATGCCTTTAATCCCAGCACTAGCGAGGAATTGAAGAAGGGAGGAGACAGCTCTCAGTTTAGTCAAGAAGTCTCATTCTGAGGATTTGAGGAGGCAGGTTCACCATTTTGGTCTGAGGTAGAGGTAAGAGCCAGTGG